CCGCCGTTACGGCGGCGCAGCACGCACGGCGAGCCTCCGCGGACGCGCTGCCTGCCGAGGACGACTTGGCCAGGGCGATGGCTGGGGTCAAGGTGCGGGGCCCGCAGCCTCACAAACCGACAGGCACCGCCACCTGGCCTGCTCCGCGGCAACCCAGCCGGCAACCCGCTCGCCCCCTCTCCTGGCCGCCTTGACGCCGCCCGCAACGCCCAGCTTGCAAGCTCCCTCCGCCCTCGAGCCCGCCGCCGCCGCCGCACCGCCACCAAAGCGCCCCTGATCGCGCCCAACTGAAGCCGGCTGTGCTCGCATGTCTTCATGTCCGCGGCGAATCTGCCCGCTCCTTCTTGCACGCAAAGCATCACCCAAACTGTGACCACCGCCGTGTCCAGGTCGAAGCCGCGGAGCCGCACCAGCCGGCGCCGGGCGCCGGCGCCGCGGAGGGCATGGATGCGCCCGACCCGAGCCTGCGGCTGGCTGACCAGCTCATCAACCCCGAGGGCGGGATCAGGGCGGTGACGCAGGAGGGGGATCAGATCTACAGCAGCGCCCACAAGTTCGAAGAGCTGGATCTGTCAAAGGAGCTGATGATGGTGGGGGTGCGGGGCAGGGGTGGGGGTGGGGTCCGAGCGCTCAAGGGGGCGTGCGCATCAGCTGGCTGCGTGGTGCTCATGTGGGTGTGTATGTGAGCCTGTGCATGCGTCCATGTGTGTTTGTGTGTGTGTGTGTGTGTGTGTGCATGTGTGCATGCACGCATTCTTCTGCATGTTCATTCCTGATCGCACCTCGCTTTGGATGAAGTCTGCGCCCCAGGCTTCGAGCTGACCCCTGGTTGGGTGCTGACGCTCCGCTGTCCTGTTCCTCCGATCTCCTCAACCGCATGACTCCGCTGCGCTCTCACTACCAAAACCCTCCTCCGCCAGGGACTGTACAGTGAGATGAGGTTTGACCACCCCAGCGCCATCCAGGCCAAGACGCTGCCCATGATCCTCGAGCCGGACCAGAACGGCACCTACAGGGACCTCATAGCACAGGTTTTTTTTTGGGGGGGGGGGGAGGACGAGTACAGGGTATGCTTCATAGGAGGGAGCATGACTCGCGTACTTGCTGCAAGGGTGCGAGCATCCAGGGGCAAATAGCCAACTATGTGACTTGTCTGGTAGCTGTGCCTGTGGCGGCATGTGCCTGGTTGCTTCTACTTGTATGCATGGGCTGCTGTGCCACTGGCACAGAGGGAGTCCCAGGGCTACAGAAAGACTAACCCCATTCGTAGCCAGCAAGGCATGGCTTGCAGCACTGGCACCAGCCCATGCCCTCGAAGCCTGAGGCCTGCCAGCCACGTGTTTGCAGGCCCACAATGGCAGCGGCAAGACCACCTGCTTCGTCCTGGCCATGCTCAGCAGGTGGGACCCCGCCCTACAGAGCCCCTCCGCTGCTGCTGCCTGCAAATGATTGAAGCAGGCAGGCGCTGCGGTGTAGCACGCCTACATTGACCCCAAATGCGCTATCGCCTGGCCTTAACGGAGACGCTTGCAGACTGCAGGCCTTAAACAAGAGGCAGGCAGCCCCGTTTCCTTGCAAAGAGCGCGCGACTGGAACACGCACCTCCCGTTGTGGGAGCCCATCAGCAACGCCCATCGCCCGCCCTGCCTGAAACCCTCCCCCAGGGTCGACCCCGCCCTCCACGTGCCCCAGGCGCTGTGCATGTGCCCCACGCGCGAGCTGGTGCTGCAGAACCTCCACGTGGTGCGCCGCATGGCCAAGTACACCGCCATCCAGGTCGGCGCACGCGCGGCAGGCCACAACGGCAAAGGGGCGGCGCCTCGCGGATGGCTCCGGGAGCGGGCAACCGCGGGACGCTGTAGCAATCATAGTCATCATCCTCGCGCCTGATCGTCCCGCTCAGTCCCGCTGCAACCTGCTGGCTGACCTGGACAGCCGCGGCTGTCAACAATCTGCTGACGTCCGACGTAGGAGTCCCCATTCACGTTTGCGGCCGGGCTCCCTGGTGCGCACCGCCGCGCCCCTCCCCCAGGCCGTCAGCACCGCTGATGAGGACGAGCGCACAGGGGCCGCAGGCGGCCGCCGCGCGGCGCGACGCGCGAAGATCACGGAGCACGTGAGCCGCCGCCTTCGTCGCATGCCCGCGCACGCGCTCTGCCTTGGTTTGTGCACGAGCAGAAGTGCGGCTGCATTGCTTATGTCGGCCTGTCTTACAAGGCTGGGAGCTTAGCGGGCCAAGTAAAATCTGCAGCACATTAACACCCTCTTTGGGTTTCACACCCTGCCCACACGCAGGGTGCGAGCAGTCCCGACACCCACCAGCCCCGCCCCGCAC